AACAAATCTGAAAGAGGTCCACATGTAGTACCTATATATGTAATATCAAAGCAATTGGACTTGCGGTTTTTAACAAGAAGTCGAAAATATCACTTTTTACCAAAAATGACAAAAATATTCACCAAAATTAGAGAATTGAAGATATAAAGATGAAATGAACAAACCTCAGAGAGGTCTACCTAAGGTACATATACACCAAGTATCAAAGCATTCAGGCTTGTAGTTTTCAAGAAGAAGTCGAAAAAGTAAAACATTGACACGGACGACGACGGACAATCACTCATATGATATAAGCTCCGCTCGACAAAGTCGACAGCGGAGCTAAAAAAGAATCAGTCTGTGTCAATATACCAACCTATTTTTACCTTCCCAGCAAGTCTTACTTTACCATAAAATTACTACTGGTAATACAGATTTTTCACTACTATTCCTAAACCAAAGTCAATTTTATTCGAAAACAATTTCAATATGTATGTAGTAGCAAGGAGGATTTTGAGTGGAATAGCCTTGTAAACATCAAAGTCAACAACTAAACATCTCAACAGCAAATATGCAATGCTTACTGCTTAATTAGTGAAATCCATTTCCTTTTTACATTTTTGTTTCAATTTCAACTAAATGATAAGGATTCCTATTAAACATAACAAGGGCATAACCATCTTGAACAATCCCCTCATTAGCCAGTTTGAATCACAAAAAGCATTTTTTTTTACAATGTATCATTTTGCTTGGTTTACTTCTGATGCTAACCAGCAAAGTTTTTTCTTTACTCACTTTAATATATATCCTCTGTTTATTTGTCAACTCACACTGTACTAGTGTATAGGAGTTGTTAACGTCCATCGTCCATCCTGTAAGCTATGTACCGGTATATTCAGTTGGCCATGTCAGTTTGCAAATTCTCAGCATAGAATAAGTTAAGCATTGTTTTTATGGGATGTTTGGAGCCAGATGGAAGCCACACTGAGTTAGATATACGATTTGGCGCCATGGTTACTGGTTTGAATCACACGCGTATTTATGCAGTATTTACACTCCTGTGGATTACCTCCTCAATCCATGGCAATTTTCTTTTGAAACATTAACATGAAGAAACAAAATAATAAAAAACAAGTTTACTCACCTGGGTCGACAAACCTGAGTTGTTGCGTTACACCATAAATGTCTATAAGCGCCCATAATGGCTTAGTTACATCCACGTTATTAATATGAACTCCTTTGTATTCATTATTCACATAGAAATGTACATCACCCTCTGAATCACAATGGTATGTCAGTCTATACCCTTGCTCTGCCTGACTTTCAGTCAAAGCTTTCGCGTAAAAGCCGTCCTTATTTGTGAGGTCTGGTACAGCATAGCGGGGAAGTTCGTCGATAGTGACAGGGTCAACAGATGTAAATCCAAACCTTAAGGCACCACTCCAGCCAGAAGTGTTACCCAGAAATTCAAGGGATATCTTTTCATTAACAGGGACGGGAAATGCACTAAATGTGATCCCATTACAAAAACTGTCAGTCCTTTTAGCAGTCAGTCGATCTGACGACAATTCGATAAGGGATCCACGTTTCTCATGGAAGAACATATTTGTGTAAGACACAACTTGATACTCAGCAATGCATCATAATAGAATTAAGTCGTTTGAGTAGAGACATTGTCATTAGCTGCGAAAGGTGCCATCTTCTTCGTCTATAATCAGAGGAAAAAAAGAAAACTCAATTTAAAGTAGACTAGATCTGTCTAGCCACATAACTCATACATTATAAACATGGTATACATGTATCTAGTTATAAACAATTTGTGCGTCACAAACACAGCATATTTATATTTATTATTAGTATATGTAAATAAATAAATATTTCATATAAGTTATTAATGCAATAAATGAAATATACCCTAAACTAATATTTGCAACACAGACTCAATTGGTATGGTAACATGTTTCAAAACACCCACTCTTAGAAAAAAAAAGTCAATCACATATTGTTAAAATGACCTCCCAGAGTGAATGTAATTTCAAACTCTGTAACACAGTATAAAAGACACTAGATTTTCAATTACTAATAATGACATCATCAATGCAGCAAGTCTGAGAATAAATTGCTTGCAGTTAAACCAAAAACACATCTGTACATACAAATAAATGTACATCAATTCAACTGATAAATCTATTTTGTACAACTACTGCTTGACTCAAGTAATATCATTTTCTTTGTTAACTCGCATACACAGACATTTAAATTTTTAAAATGCCTTCTCATGCTGTTTAAAGAAATTAAACAAAAGTCAATTCTTTACACGTCATTCTCTATAAGCATATATCTCTGCACTGACATCATGGAGATAACACATACATGTAGCTGTATGATACAACTTATTCCCCAAGCAAGGAATAATAAGTTAGGAGTTTAGTTTCTATTCTTCGGTAAAATAGTTAATTTAATTTAACTTTGAAAACAGACAGTACTAATCTCACTTACTTATGATGCATTTCTATAGGAACATTTGACTACTAGTAACAAAATTCCAAATTTTTATTACGTGGATCTTTCCGTCATTGTTGTAATGACATTCAGATTCTTCTCAATGATACCCGGTAATAATTTTAACTAATGTATAATGGCAATCATTTTTTTAAGTTGTCATCAATCAGAATGTATTGCATCTCGGCTGATCTGAATATGATTTACAAGTTTTTAAAAATAAAGAAAGACAACACTAATAGTTTGTCAAACCCTATAAAGATGTTATTTCTTTTTGGTTTATCGTAATTTCATTCCTTGTGCATTTTTATTTACAAAACATTAATTAGATTCAAATCGGCAGTACCCTATCTACTATATTAGTAACGCATACATTAATGCATATTGTGATACATTGTAATAAGACATATTTTAATAATCTAATATATTATATAATATTTGCAATTGTTAGTTCGCAGTTACTTCTAATAGAGTAATACAACAATTGTAAAATGGGTATGAGGATACAGACCTATCATCAAAAAACTTAATTTTATTTTAAATGACAGATTTTTCAATTTTATTATTTACAAATGTATTATAATAAAAATCCTTTACTTCTTTTTTTAACTACCATAATACTGTAATAGTTTCCATGCTAAAGTTCTTGTCTAAAAATGTGAAGGTTTATTTGTTAAAGGTAGAAGACACAAAATTTGACACTAACCACTGATGTAACAGCTATGTCTGCATTTAATGACGCCTGATAAAATTATTACCGGGTAGCAATTATCTTTCAAAGAAAATAATTATTTTAATTACGGTAGGCCTAACCATAAATCTAAATGACATGCATCAGTAAAACACCATACGTAGTTTATAAACCATATTCAATTAAAAACAGCCATGTTGAGGACATTCATTCAAATATTTGTTTTCAGCTACCAAAATGGCCACCAGACAGCCAGCAAAAATATTCAAAAAACAAACTGACGAGTACTTTTGACACATCACCTGCCGAAATCATTTTTCGTATTAATTTGTGGAGGTTTTTAGCCAGCAATGTGATAAACAAGCAGCCTGTCGGCTGAGATAGCTCCGCTGTTAGCAATGCACATTTCAGTTAAAGAGCAGAAGATATCATTAGAAAATGAACAATATGTATAGTACATTGTATCAAAGCAATCAGACTTGCTGTTCTCAACAAGAAGTGAGAAATATCACTTTTTACCAAAAATTACAAAAATATTCACTAAAATTAGAGAATTGAAAATATCACGAAATGAACAAATCTGAGAGAGGTCCACATGTAGTACCTATATATGTAATATCAAAGCAATTGGACTTGAGGTTTTTAACAAGAAGTCGAAATTATCACTTTTTACCAAAAATGACAAAAATATTCACCAAAATTAGAAAATTAAAGATATCATTATAAAATGAACAAATCTGAAAGAGGTCCACATGTAATACCTATATGTGTAATACAAAAACAATCGGACTTGCGCTTTTTAACGAGAAGTCGAAAATATCACTTTTTACCAAAAATGACAAAATATTCACCAAAATTAGAGAAATGAAGATATCATTACAAAATGAACAAATCTAAGAGAGGTCCACATGTAGTACCTATATATGTAATATCAAAGCAATTGGACTTGCGGTTTTCAACAAGAAGTCGAAAATATCACTTTTTACCAAAAATGAAAAAAATATTCACCAAATTTAGAGAATTGAAGATATGATCATGAAATGAACAAATCTAAGAGAGGTCTACCCAAGGTACATATACATCAAGTATCAAAGCATTCAGGCTTGTAGTTTTCAAGAAGAAGTCGAAAAAGTAAAACATTGACACGAACGATGACGGACGACAACGACGGACAATCACTCACAATGATAAGCTCCGCTCGACAAAACTGACACACTCAGATATTTGTATCGCTCATTGAAATCAAGAATGTACAGCTATTTCACAAACCACAAAATAAGGGTGTTTTTTTTACTGACCCTCAGTGACATCAATAAAACAGTATTTATTAGCCCCTGCAAAAAATAAAATTTACCATCTCCAGTCAGGAGATGTTAAAAATAATTACTGTGAAATCTGTATTAGAAGCTGTGACTTCTATTAAAATGGTACAATGAAACAGACGGGATGTGGCTTCTATTAGAGCATCTATAGAAATAAGAAATGATGAACTGTTCAAAATGAATAGGTCCATCTTTGCCCTGTGAAATCGCCATTTGTAAAAATGTTTTTTTTTTTCAGTTTCGGAGATCATAAGATGTCATTTTTATCAAATTGCCTATTGCTGAACTGTTGCAAGACACAGAAATACAAGAACAAGCAATACACATATACCGGTATATGTAGTTTGTAAAATTACAGGTTACTGCAATAGTCTCTTATTTACTGTGATTTTAATTTTTCAATAACAACATTTTAATAGTTCTGTGTTGCTATACAAATGACAAAGCTTTTCTAGAACATGATTTTTCCATCTCGTATATTTCTGCATTAAAATAATAATTTTGCTTGTTGTTTGATGGTATAAACAAACTTTGGAGAGAAGAGCTTATTCATTTCTTTTTCTCTTTTTGTCATGATATTTTTTGATTCTTTCTTCATTTCAAACAGTGCAAATAAAATTGTTGCACTTACTAACCATTTAGATTTGACCATTATAACTCAGGTGAGGATGGTAGGACAATCTGACAATTATTTTTTTCCTTCAGTTAGAGTAGATTTCTATGTTGGTGCATTCGTGTTTTTTCTCTGTCAAATGTGTTATTTTTAAATGTATTTTTTCTCCTGTTATTCTGTTAGTATAATAAGTTTTTTCAGTGCAGATTTTCTCTTCAAAATACAGCATTTAATGATCAACCCCTGTAACTATGATGTTTTTTAATTGAATTTTTAAACTGCAAATTGTAGGTACTTGAATGTTTTATGGGGTGTGCGTGTTCCAAAAACATGGTTTTTTTTATAGGAAAAAGTCCTTATTTAACATCTAATACAGTAAATCTTTCCTTTATTATTGCAAAATATCAATATCATAAACACTTTAATTTAATACCAGGATACGGACCTTTATTGAAATACAACACGATCATACACGATGTAAATGAATAAATCTTTAAATATATGCACAATCAATACCGGTACAAAAGTCTACTGTACTATGCACGCACTGTTACGAGAACAAGCTGTAAGAAATACGTCGAATTGAAAAGTACATTTAACTTTATACATACGCACCGGGATACGCACTAAATTGAACCATATTGTCATGGAATAATGACACGTTATACTCTAAGTAACTTAAAATGTTGGAAATACTACAATATCTAGGTGTAGATTACGTTGTCTTGGTGCAAATATACGATTTACCTTGTTTGTACACAAACTGACAAAACATTAATCACACGGTGATTGCTCCCAGTCAATGCCGCGATCTGAATACATCTTACAGACGAAACGACACAGAATTCACCGGTTGTCCGTCCTACTTCATGCGACTACCGGCCCTATTGTGATCATGTCGAACACTTGTTTATGGGGCACGGATACCATCTCTCGCTTCTCGCTAGAGTTGCATGATTTGTCCTGCAATTAATGGTCAAATGTTGACCGAGATATGACAATCACGGTGGGGGCTGAAAATAAACGCAGATTCCCAAATCGCATAGCAACTATGAAATGACGCCAACAGAACTCACTGACACCTACCTACCTCGTTACTGTATTGCTCGTATAGGCGATCATAACTTACACGTAGCACCAGATGTAAAATGTTGACGGTATCGCGATAGGGTGAAGGAATTCCAAATGTGCTAGACAACATAATGACTGTCTCTATAATATTTTTTTTCCTTTCAGTCCGACTCCATTTTGTTGTTGTTTGCGCAAATTGCTCTGCGCATATCACTTTGCATGTCTAAAGCTCCCTAAACGTAGATGGCGGACTTTTCAGCGTCAAGTAAGTTTGTAACATATCGATTGAGCTTGTGTTACAAATAATAGTTCAGCATATCTATGTTTGCATTAAATTTACTTATACGGCGTGCGCAATAAATATAAATACTCCTTACTTGTAAGCACAAGTTATTAGTAACTAAATGTGCTATTCTTGTAATGTACGAGTTCCGTGGCTAGACAGGCTAATTCGAGTTTAATTAACTCATTAGTTGGCCATATCGATTTATATTTATGTATCTTGTCCCGCCGTGTCTTCAAATGTTTTTCGCATATTTTGGGGGTAAAACTGGTAGGAAAGTTTGCCATGAGTATTCTAATTTAGGCGTCACTCTAATTTAGTCAGGAGACTGAAAGGCCTTAATTTGAATCTAAAATAAGCGTCACGAACAACGGAAAAGTTAGTGAACAGCGAGTCCAACGAAATGTCGGCATTTCAACGTGATGAAAAAAGGTTAAATACAATTGCAGCCAAAAAATATTGTTGTTTACGAAAATATTACCATATTGTTTTTTCATCAAGATGCAATCTCAAAGATTTTTTTTTTAAATATGCTAACAAATCTCAAGTTACAGTGAGGAGCTGAGATCGTTATAAAAGTTTTATAAATATACGTTTTTATGTATGTATTTTATATCAAAATGAATGTCAGAATTCAAAATGACCAATCTAAATATGGTATTGGTGCGTCATCGTTATAATTATATTAATGAGTTAGTTTAACATTTATTTCCAATCAGCAAGCGCTCATTTTGAGTGAGCAGTCGCAGTTGCCATGTCTCGTCGGAGCATGCGCACGCATTATGGGCCCTGACAATATTTAGCTGTTGAGCCAATCACTATTATTAAATATTTTTATTGGTTAATTAAAATAAATATTTTTGTTTTATTTATTAACACAATACTGACTTTGGAAAGTACAGCAGTAAGGTCAGCAAACATTAACAATAAAAGATAAAAAGTGCATACAAGTTACAAATTACGAGATTCACCGCCCATTAACATACGAAAATACATTACTGTAACAATGCATCAATAATTATACTATGGGGTGCTTCTGTTTTATTTTAGTGCAATGTTTAAAAAGATTGTGGT